CACAGTCAGATGTCAGTTTTGTTGGATGGTATTTGTCAACGAATATTGTCAAAGCAGTTTTCACATCTAAAATATTTTTGGACCATAATGGTATGGCTTCACAGTATCTTGTGTTTTGACCGACAAATATTAGCCAGTATGGAGGTCCATCTTCTCTATACCTCGGAATGTTTTCCAAGATATCCATAAACCAAGCATTTGGTGTTGAACTAAAGATTTTTATCATGAGTGCTTTCTTTGTTGCCTTAGAAACATAGGGGTCCTTGTTTGGATTCGTCATTTTTTACCCTATAAGAAATGGGTTTATTTGGCGCATTAGCAGGAGTTGCATCCAGATTTTTACCCGCAGTGGGAACAATAGCCAGAGGTGTATTTGGAGTTGGAAGGAAGATTTTGAGTACATTAGGTATACTTAAAGAGAAAGCACAACCTATTATACAAACTGTACAGAAAGGTTGGGATGTAGCACGAGATGCAGCAAATCTTATTCCAAATCCTGAAACAAGAGGAAAAGTTCAAGGATGGATGGACAATGTAGGAAGACAAGCAGGAAACTATTATAACAAAGCAAATGACTACTATAACCAAGCAGGACACTATATGGACCAAGGTGAAAGATTCTTTAACAGAGGATATAACCATGCACAACAGTGGGTAAACAATAACCAACCTCAACCACCTCAAACTTGGGGAATGTAAAGTTTTTTACTGAGATGAAATGAACAATACAGCATTGAGACAAATGGGTTCAAGATGGATTTGTCGACTTCCAGCAGTTACACCACGTGTTTGTCAAGTTCTTCCTATACCTCAGGAAGTTTTAGACCGACTTAAAAAACAACAACAACCAGTTGAAAACAAACCAAACTAAAATTTTTTACTGAGATGAAATGACCGAAGAAGTTGAAACGGTAGATTTGACACCACAAACAAAAAGTTCAGAACCATTGTCAAAACCTGTCAAAGAACTTACAGATGAAGAGAAAAATTCAATAATAGAAAGTGCCAGGTCTGGAAATACAAACCCTAACTACAAAGTCACTTTTCATAGAAATGGAACGGCTAGTATCTCAAAAAAGAAACAGACTCTCACAAATAAAATATTGAAGTCTGAAGGAGCTTTCGAGACAACAGATGGAAAAGTTTACTTCACTGACCAACAGTTCATTATAGAACATCTCATTGACTTAGAGTCGAAATATTCTAAACTTTACAACAAACACAAAAAGTTGAAAGGAAAACAAAAACAAATGGCATATGATATTTATGAAGATGTTGACGACACAACTAAACCTGCAAGTGAGGTAAAGTCAGATGAACCGAAAAGTGACGAAAAACCGATAGAAGAAGAAAAACCAAAAACTGAAGATAAACCAAAACCAAAGTTTAGTTTGGAAACTAAACCAAGTCAACCTTCATTAGCTGGTATGGGTTGGCGTCAAAGACTTATGGCAGCAGGCGGTTATGTAAAGTAAAGAAAAAAACATTTTTTTTATTTTTATAAAAATGCCCCCATATAGAATGGATAGAAAATCTGCTAGAATAAAAGCAGAGTTAGAAAGATATGGTTGGAAAGTTTCGAAGAATTTTAAATATAGGAAGGGAAGACCCATAAAAGTCTATGACAAATTGTCTGGTCTTCGCTACGAAATGGAATTGGAAACAGCACGCGCAAATTATCCAAACAGACTAGAGAGGTTAGAAGAAGAACGTCTTATGGACATGCCTTTCGATGTTTCTGAACCGCAAGTTGAAGGACACGACGCTTTGCCAGATTCTATTGGAAACATGACGAAACAATTGTATCCTTTGAGAAGGAAAAGGAAAAGGTGAAGACAAACATGCTCCCATGGAAAGAACAAGATATGCATATGAAAAGTACCGTGAAGTTAGAAGTCAAATTACATCTGGTCGAACCTTTACAGTAAACTTTGACGAAGGAAAGAACAAAGAAGGCTTCATGGGTGTACTTGCTGCCATACAAGACGGAAATAAGAAAGGATACAATCTCAGACTAACCATAACAGATTTGGACGGTCACATTTACTATGCACATGGCAATGTCACAACAGCCGCACAACTTCTTGACGCTTTCAAGACTACAAAGAGAGAACAAATGTTTGACTCCGACTCAGACATTTTGAATGCAATTGAAGGAATTGCAAGTGTAAAATTTGAATGGTACCAACCTAACCCTCAAGCAGTCAGACAACATGCTGGATACTTCCCGTTCATAAATAAGTCTGACATTGACTTGACAAGGTATGGAATTTACAATTCAATTGAAACAATTGTCAATGAACCTTGCATTCTTACATGTCTCAGGAACTCTGGTCTTGTTACAGATGAGAAGATGAAGTATCTTGAGTCATGTGTGAAGACAAGGTACATTCTCAGAGGTCAATTGGCAAAAATTGCACCGTTGGCAAATGTCAATATCCGAGTTAACATACCTACAGCTAAAGGTTCTTCACATGACGACTATGTTGTTGAGTTCAATTTACCATGGTTGAAGATTGTAATTGTCCACAACCACTTCATGTTGAACGAAAGTCTTACAAACCCATTGTTCGGAAAAGGTAAGTGTAACATTGTCAGAGCTGTTAACATTCTTTTCGAGAAAGGTTTGTTGGAACCAATTCCAGATGACAAGCTGACAGAAACTTTTGTACCAAAAGACGAAACAAACTTTTCATTGTTAGCAAGACCAAATGTTGTTCCAGACAAAGTTCTAGTACAAAAGAAGTACACAATTCCACAAGGGGTTGGATTGTTCGGATACCAACCTGAACCAGAAGAACTTCCAATGAGGTTGCAAGAACTTCAAGATGCTATAAACAAACTTCCATTGAGACATCCAATTGACGTCAAATTGTATTGGAGAGCATCTGAGTTAGGTCAGAAAATTTTATATGAAACAGGTTGCTTTGACGATGTTTATGAGATAACAGGAGAAGTTTCTCAAAAGATAAGAGACTCACTTGAATTTCCACGAACCGGACCCATTGGATGCGATAAGTTCGACTCAGATGAAAAGATATACTATGTCGACCTTAACGCTGCGTACATGAGGTTCGTCCAATATATCCCGACTGGAATTCCAAACGAAGATGGAGAGTTCCCAGGAAGGAACTATACAGTTGGAAAAGTCATACAACAACTCTATGATATTAGGAAAGCTTCAAACCCCAAACTCGCAATGACACTGAAATTGCTTATGAATTCGACATGGGGATATTCCATTAAAAAACCTCAAGAGATGAAGAGTAAACATTATGAGAAGGTCGACAACTTTGTTGAAAGGTTTTCTCCTTTTGTTTTGAAGTACGAATTCACTCAAGGTCAAAGTGGCTTAGTAACCACATTAAAACCTATTGTCGAACATTGGTCTTACCCTCAGTTCGCAAAGGCAGTCCTTGACAACTACAACAAATTCTTCTCCGAAGTCAAATCCAAAGTTGTGGTTTACTATGAGAACATTGACGCACTCATGACGAACGAAGAAGGGTACAACAAACTCATTGAAATGGGCATGGTCGGTGAAAAGATGGGTCAATTCAAATTGGACAAAATTTTCACCGAAGTTCATGTCCTCTCCAAGCGTAAGTACTGGGGCATACTTGAAGACGGCACAGAAATAAAACATTGCATGAAATAAAAAATTTTTATTCGAATTTGAATTAAAATGTGGGAATTCTTGGGAACGGGAAAGGCTTATTTACTTGAGGAACAGGTAAAGGTGGTGGAGGTGGAGGTGGTGGCAACCAGTCCATTTTATATTCCTTCCTAGCTAATTTCCGTTTAATTTCATGGTCGCCCTCGGAGTCTTTGAATCGGACAGGTCGAGTTACACCATTCTTGGTCTCAAACTCATATATAACCTGTTTGTCTGTATTTTCGTCGACTATGGCACGAGACACGAACATTGACCAAACGGACAAAAAGTGTCATTTCGGATGGTCACGCAGCCAATCGCATTCGAGCACTTCGAAGAAGCCTTACGTTCCAAGGGAGAGGGTGTCTGGTGCAAGGCAGAGGTCATGAAACTCTACGAGCAGTACATCCTCAATGCCTGGGAGGACAAATCGTCCTTGGATTGGCAATTCTACCAACTCCTCTGGGACGACCTCCTACGCAACTGGGATAACGAAAGAGCCCAATTCAAAGGTCGGGAACTAATTTTGCAAATTGACCTTAATTTCACATACTTATCCAAATAAACACCTAAATTTACTTGGGGTTTCCCCCTAAAATAAAATTTTTTTACTCTTAGAACCACTCGAGGTTCTCCTTACGGTTGTTGAGCTTGTCACCGTCAATGTGTCTGACCTTCGTCTTCTTGCCTGGATTTGGAACCCATTGAATTGCGACAAGCTTGCCCATGGAGATTGAACCGCGATTCCGAAGGTTAAGGTTCAAGTGTCCCAAGTTGTTGAGGACTGGGGTAAGAACCTTGCCTGTCTCCTTGTTGCGGATTTGGTATGGGTAGGGTTGGGAAATTTCGTAAGTGTCATCGGCAACAAGGGTTGCCCATGTAGCGGCTTCAGGAACTTCTTCGTGTTTCTCTTCTTCCTCTTCTTCCTCTTCTTCCTCTTCTTTGATAATACCTTCGGCAATTCTGTGTTCACGAATTACGGTGTTGCATGTTCTGTCCTTTCCGAGTACCTTCCAGATGGCGTCTATCTCTTCGAAGAAACGGTAGATGAGTCTGGCAAGGTCTCGGTTCTCTCTCGCGTAAATGCGCAAGGTTTCCGTTAAATCATTCAGGCATTTCTCATTGGAAGCTTGGTTCATGAGGACATCGGCTTTGAGCTTGGTCATCTCTGTCATAAGACTACTTTGGAGAGTCTTAACGGTGTTTGTCAGATGAGCTTTCAAATTCAAAATTTGAATTTGAACTGGGCGCTTGTCTGGCAACATTGAAAGGACATCTGCCATTGTGTTCGGCTTCGGTGCTTGTTCGGACATCGAAAAAATGAAGTGGTTTGAGAATGACGGTTTTACTTCAAAAAGCTTGTTATGACAGTTATGTCATACAACAAGTTTAAAATAATATCTTGTTCTTCTTCTGAACGTTTGTTGTCTCTTCCGATAAAAGTTTGGAACATGAGAACCAAAAAACGTTTTTTGAGATTGCGGAAGAGTTCAGGCAAATTTTCATATTCTGGATATGTTGGGAGCAGTTCAAAACATCTGAGCTGACTTTCGGACAAAATTGGGACAATGTCAGAAAATTCATCTTTGGTCGGACTGCTTGAAGGTAAGTCCCTTACATGTAAGTAGCTCTGGTAAAGTCTTCTCATTTCTGCTAACTTTTGGAGTATAGCTTCGTAGTTTAGAAGTTTTAATTTTAAATGTCTTATTCCACTCTTGACATCTAAACGGTAACTATCCATGAGGTCAAGAGTAGCTTTGGTAGCTTTAAGTGGAGCTATCTGTTCCTTGACTTCTGCAATTTTGGTTGCAATTGTGATTTGAGCTCCTTCAAGTTCGCCGTCTATGTCGTTCTCAACGCCTTCAACCATGGCTTGAAACTCTTCATCGGTCCATTGAGATTGGTGTGGGACGAATTTAACTTGCTTCATTCAAAAAATGAAAAAAATGTTTTTACTCTAAACGTTAAGGTTTACTGAATTGGTTGGATGTCGCCTTCACAGGTTATGTAGAACGGCTGACCCGAGAAGTGAAGGAGAGACTGAATTGCCAATTTCATATGGGGTAGGGGTTCTCCTTGTTTGGTATTTTTATCCAAGGACGTTTGTTTAGGAACTTAACAAGAGCTTCTCTTTTGGCGTCCTTTATGCCATCGTAGGCTGTCCCGTCTGGTATTTGAATTGGAATTCCAGTCGAAGTCTCGAGCTGAAGTGTAGACCTTCCAGAAATAGTGGTGAACTTGACCTTGGGCTTCATTACCCTGCGCAAGTAGTCTTTTACGCAGTCGTTAATTTCAATTAGGTAAATTGCCTCGTCAAATCCTTCTGGCATTCCGAGTCCTTCCATCCGACAGGAAAATATTTTCCCGACAACTGGAAAAAATTTTCCGGACAAAGGGAAAAATTTTTCCTTCCGACAGGAAGAACTCTTCCAGTTGTCCGTCCGTAAACCATTCAAATTTTCGAAAATTGAGAACTTTTTGGTCGAACTTCAGAAAAAGTTCTTCCTTCCGACAGAAAAAGTTCTTCCTTCCGACAGGAAAAGTTCTTCCTTCCGACAGGAAAAATTTTTCCTTCCGACAGGACACAAACGGATGACTGACGTTCCTCTTCCTGAATGCCTTCCAAAGCCAGAAGAACCGAAAGCTGCAGAACCACAACAGTCTCCTCAGCAACCTCAGTTCCAGCAAGTCCCTCCACCAAATTACTACCAATTTCCATCTCAAGGTTACTACCAATTTCCACCTCAAGGTTACTACCCACCACAAGGCTTCCCGAACTACCCTCCTCAGCCTATGCCTTACTTCCCCAACCCTTGGATGTTCCAGCAAGCTCCACCCCAGCAATTCCAATCTCAATCCAAATCGAAGAGAGACCAAGAGTTCGAAGAAGGTCTGAACCGTTTACGCAAAGAGTATGCCACAGCCCCTATGGAAGAAGACAGGCTCTCACTCTCTTCCCTCAAATCGACCGATTCGACTCGTACCACAGATTCGGTTCGTGACCGTGAAGACTACCTCAAGCAGTCTGAGAGACTCTTCATCCTACAACCATTTACAGTTGGAGCTCTCAAGAACATGCGCAATTACGAAGGTCAGACACCAGCTGGAGACCGCAAAACAGACGTACTCGCAAGAGCCGTCCAGCTCGTCAAAACAAAGACTGAGATAGTCGACTTCATTCTTGCAGCTTGCCCATACAAGTAAAAAAATAAACAATTACGAGTTAAACTTTTTATTCTTTCTTTTCTGAGTTGTTTAGAGCTGGTTTCTCTTGTAGGAACCTTTCGTACTCTTCCATGGTCATGTAATTGCGAATTTGGTACGCAATTCCAGGTTCGTTGTTTTTGAACCTTACGTATGTAACGCTTCCATCCTCCTCAGGGAAGTAAGCTGCTAACATCTGACCAAGTTTTCTCGGTGACTCGGAGCTCATAAAAATGTCACTTTTTAAACGTTAAGTTTTTAGTCTTATTTTACCCTTTGTTTACCCTTTGTTTACCCTTTGTTTGTCAATGTAGTATTGGAGTGCAATTTCTCCAAATTCTCTGTGTCGGAGTTCTTCAGCATTTTCCAAGGTGTACCTGGAGAACTCAAAGAAGTTGTCAAGAAGATACTGCCATGCTGCTCTTCTGAGTTCGTCGGTATTTTGGAAGTGTTGCACCTTCGAGTCTTCGGACATGAAAAAATAACACTTTTTCTATTAAACCGTTTTGGCATTTCTCATGAGTGAGTATAGTTCTGCCGAACCATTGGAAGAGAAGAAGTACCCTTGCTGGCAAAAGACAAAAATAGTTGCCTTAGTTGTCATTGCAATTGTACTCGTAATTGAATTCATTGTACTTCTCTTCACGTACATAAAACTCAGCAATGGTATTTGCTTTAAGAAGCTACCATCTTACTAAGACTAAACACTTAGATTTTTCAAGCTTGACTTTTTACAATTTGAATTTTGTCATAAATTTACACCAAAAATAATGTTTAGGTGAAGAGGTGAGATTTCACCTCTTTTTTCACCTGTTTTTTCACCTCATGAATTTTCATGATTTCATCGTAAATGTTTTGTTGAAACTTCATCGTAATGAGCGTAAATGACCCAAAAATAATGTTTAGGTGAAGAGGTGAGATTTCACCTCTTTTTTCACCTGTTTTTTCACCTCATGAATTTTCCCGAAATAAAAAATAAAGTTAGTTTTATTTTTTATTTTATTTATTTTTGTATAAAAAAATAAAATGTCAACAATCGGCACAACAACAGTTCAAACAACTACAGCACCAAACTCGTTAGTCATGAATCCAACATCTATGTTGGTAGAGATGAAAAACTTCATTCCTTCTTCATATACTTTCGAAACAAAAATCCAGAAGATAAAGCAGGAATTGTTAACAAGTAATTTAGACTGTACCGCACAGGATGAAACAAATGAACAGTATCTTTATGAAATGCAGGACATTATTGACCGATTGCCTAAATGCCTGAAATTCAGCAGCAAAAACTCACTATCCCGAATTTGACGAAATTGAAGTGAAACCAACTGACTCAGTAGAAATAAAGAAGTTCATACGAAAGGTAAATTATGAATTCCTTGGTTTTCATTGCAACCATAAGGTTATGGACAAAGATTGCGAACATGTTATATAGAACATCTCTGACCTTATACAAACTGAAGAATTTAAGACCTACGACAACTTTGTTTCATTAGTTGCAAAATGTGTATGGGAAATAAGAGATAAAGATAGTAGGTAAGGTATGGAATGAACAGATAAAGACCCGCTATGTTTGAGATGAAGAGAGCAATTGACGCCTTGGGTTGTTTTAGCAGGTAAGGTTTTCAGAATATAAACGCAAAAATGAACCCGCAATGTTCAAAATGTAAAGCGGCAATTAGGAAATATAACTACTCCGTCAAAGAGATAGAACGTATGCGAAACGACTATGCAGACTTAAAGAAAGAAGCAGAAAAACCAGCAGAAAATAAAATGGATATGTTAGCATTTCTGAACAAAAAACTATCCAACAGCAGAAGATTTCCTATTATCTGACGTCAAAGAAGAAGTATAAAGAAAACTTTCGGTATCGTTAAAACATTCGATGTACTGACAGAAGAAATAGAAGCTACAAAACTGTTTAGGATTTCAAATATACATCGTACAATTCATGTAAAACGCTTATAAAATAACAGGTGAGAAAGAGGTGAAAAAAACAGGTGAAATCTCACCTCTTCACCTAAACATTATTTTTTGCTGAATTCACAACAAAATTCTGAGTAAAATAATTTTTAGGGCATGTGTCAACCGTTGAGTTTTCACAAAATTAAAAAAAATAACTGGGGTGAAAAAAATTAGGTGAAAAAAGAGGTGAAATCTCACCTCTTCACCTAAAATATATTTTTATTGAATTCAGCAACAAAAACAGTGAAATTTCTCTAGACTGACTTCTTTCGGGGTCGCCAAAACTCTTTATTTTTCAAGCTTGACTTTTTACAATTTGAACTTGTTTGCGTAGATGTGAATTCTGAAAGAAGTATGAGGGTCTTGTATGACTTTATACTTCTCCCATAGTTCATGTCTGTCAAACTTACCTGCCATGGACTCTTTCATAAGTTCCATGAAATCGTCTTCGGACAATCCAGGGAAAAGTATTATGTCAGTCAGTATTTCTCTTTACATCCTTACTTAAACTCTTTGCTGTCTGTACACATATTACGACTGAGATTGTTAAAGTGTCTGAGCTTCTTAAGAATTCGACACATGTCTTGTTCTCTGTTCTTTAACAAAGGATGAGAAGCAAAGTCATTCTAAAATAAGAAGACATCTATGAGGGTATGTCTTCCAATCGTAAGATTGCAATTTCTTCGAAATGTATTTATCTCTTTCTGTTTGTTTCTGAAGTGTTTTCTTCTCTAATATTCTCTGCATTTCCTCATTTGGATCTTTTAACTTAGAATTTATATACTCATTTATAGCATTATACTTCAAAACTCTTCTTTGGTACTTCTTTATCCAATCTAACAACTCAGTATCCTTTATACATACTAACTTAGACTTCTTTATAATATCTTTGAACGAATTGACGGTTTGGTCAAATTGACCAGAAGTACTACAAATGACTACTAACTCATAGAATGGGTTCTTCTCATCTAGTTCTTTGTTGTTGTGCAGCCATTTTAAGATAAGTGAAAGTCTTACCCGACCCAGGTGGTGCAATTAGACCTGTTATACCATTCTGAGCAAATAAGAACTTGTCATGTATGGGTTTTATCTGAGAGCATTTTCCAACTTCCTCTTGTTCTTATTTAAACATTCTCAAATTTTTTGTCAATGTCAGCAAACTTTTTTCTAACATATTTTTAGAAAAATTTAAAATTTTTATCTTTTAGAAAAATGTCTAGCGATTTCGCCATCTATATTCGAGATAAACTTTTCGACAGCAAAACATCTGTCGACCATATAAAATCTTACATAGTGTAAACAAGAAAGGTGAATTTGTTCTAAAGTTCTGTTTCTGGAATATGACAAGAACCATAAAACATTAAGCAGAGCAGTCTTAAAATTTGTCAATGACAGACTTGTTGACAGAGATGACGCCGATTGGAAAGATGAAGTCCAACAAAAGTTCTTAGAATGCAAAGAAGACACATGCGCTGTTCTTGAAGATGAAATAGAAAACAGAATAGATGAGCTATTAAAGGACAAAGAACTTTTACAAAAATATGGTTCTGAGAAGTTTGACATAACTCCACCAGAAAAGAAGAAGAGAGAAAAGAAAGAAAAGAAAGTAGAAGAAGAGAAGAAAGAACCTGAACCAGAGCCAGAGAAGAAGAAATTTGACATGTAAAAATAAAATTTTATTTTTAGAACATTTCTGGGTCAATGTCAATGTTCTCTTCCTCTTTAGGAGCAAACACTGGCTTAGACTCTAAAATCTTTTTACCCAACTTACCTTGAACTTCAACTATCTTAGACTCATAATATTCATAGTCGTCTGTCTTCTTTGGTTCATAAGGTATAACAAGTTTGTATGCTTTACCTTCTTCGAGTTTTGAGAACTTTCTGTCAAAATTTTCTTTGACTGTCAACATACCGTCAATGTATAAGTCTTCAAAAGTTGCACCACTTTTTCTAACAACAGCAAACTTAACTGGTGCAATGTTCCAAATTTTGTCAAATGTAGACTTTTCAAAATTGTAGAAGTAAACATTCAAATATGCGAATGGAGCTAACTTATTTTGACTTCTGTCATGTACTTATTTACTGAGATGAATTTCGTCATCTTTTCTATCGGATAAAAAAATATTTTTTTAAAATTTACTCAGAAAAATTTTTCTTTGTATATACACCATTCTGAACATCTAAAAGACTTTTGACATTTGCCAAGAATGTTCGTTTAGAAGCTGTCATATAACCATATTCTTGACAATATTGTTTATACGAATCGTACAATGACCTTTATCTAATGACACAAAGTCAGTTTCATCTATGAACAGTTCATATACACTCTTGTTTGCTTCTAACAATGTTTGTCTCTCTTCGGTATGTGGAATTTGTCTTTGGATTGAACTTAGAAATATCTAATGTCATGAAATATGAGAACAAGTGGTTGTAAAAGTCAGATGTCAAAGTTTCTGCTAAGTCGTCAAAATATTCTGTATCTTGCATATGAGCTTCTGACGTTCTGACAACTACATTATCTTCTGTCAGAACTTTCTAACTTCATCGGAACAGCATTGTTTTGAAACCATAATGAAGTTTGCAACATTTTCACAAACTCTTTGGTCTTTATATTTTCTTTCAACAACTCCAACTTTGTCTGTTATAAGACTCTTCAAGCATCTGAGTTCAAAATTTTGTTGTATCTATACTTTGAAGTTCATTGCAAACTATAAGTTTCATATTCTCAATTGAAGAGTTAAATTTACCGCAGATGTTTTCTAAGTTTGTCATATTCGGATTCGAATAACCTTCTAACAGTTTGCACAAAATATCTGTAAAGAAAGTATTCTTACCTGTTCCTTGTTTTCCAATTATAATGAGAGCAGTTTCATTTTTAGCACTTGGATGTTGTAAGATGTTTGCAAACCAACATAAGATATACTCATAAACCTTTTCGTTTCCATTGCATATAATTTCTTTGACATGGTCTAACCAAGCTTCTATAATATTTTCTTTCCATTCTACTTGTTCATATTTATATCCAGTGAAGATAG